ATCATAAAGAAATACACAGACACACGTAGGTTTGTTTGTATATCGTAAAGAAATACACAGACGCACGTAGGTTTGTTTGTATATCGTAAAGAAATACACAGACACGCGTAGGTTTGTGTGCATATCGTAAAGAAATACACAGATACACGTAGGTTTGTGTGTATATCGTAAAGAAATGCACAGACACACGTAGGTTTGTGTGTATATCGTAAAGAAATACACAGACACACATAGGTTTGTTTGTATATCGTAAAGAAATACACAGACACACGTAGGTTTGTGTGTATATCGTAAAGAAACACGCATAAACTAGTTACTTTGTAGTTCGTAAAGAAATACACAGACACACGTAGGTTTGTTTGTATATCGTAAAGAAATACACAGACACACGTAGGTTTGTGTGTATGTCGTAAAGAAATACACAGACACACGTAGGTTTGTGTGTATATCGTAAAGAAATACACAGACACACGTAGGTCTGTTTGTATATCGCCAAGAAACACGCATAAATTAGTCACCAAAGTCGATCGAACCAGGTGTCTGTTTTTACATTAATTTTATTTTTCCGTTTTTTAAAGACCACTGAATAATCAATAATCTTCACACTTAAGTTAAGAATCAGTTCCTTTTTTACAATAGATCTACGTTTTTCAGTAATGTGGTATCTTTTTCTATGTTTGTTTTAATAACTCCCTGGTGGGTCAGCTGTAATTCTCACAGCTTACAACGCTAGAATTCGGATTTCGATACCCGCAGTTGTCAGAACATAGGTAGTCCATTCTGTGGATTTGTGCTGAATAGCAAACAGACAAATTCTTTTTACATTCGTTTCTTGAGTTTTTTAGTTGCTTCATGTTGCTGGTTTTCACATATTTTTTGTAATGTTTTTCTGACTTTTTTATTACTCTGAAAGCATTTAAAGTTTTTCCTCGTGGTTCAGTGGTAAGCTTCGGTGCATAACACTAAATTTCGGGGTTCGATCTTTACAGTGGGCACAGTGCAGGTAACTCATTCTGCAACTTTGCGCTTAAACAAAGCAAACAGACCAGTTAGTGATGAAAGCGTACAATACAGTTCACATTTGTCTAAGGAATACGAACGTTAATAATGACTATAAAAAAACAAAGCAGCATATTTGGATATCTGTGTTCTATACACCGCAGAATAACATTAATAAACCTCTTGGGAAACCATAGCATTTGATTTCGTAAGTGCATAAATTATTATTTGATATACTTTACAAAGGAAAGCATGAACTAAAAATATATTAATACGTGTATAAGCGTATATAAAATACATTAATACGTGTATAAGCTTATATAAAATACATTAATACGTGTATAAGCTTATATAAAATTATGGTGAGATTTATTTTTTGATTTTTCAAATAAAATTTAAACTTAATAAATAATTTAAGCTACTGTGATTTTATATATATGTATATACTTCTTTATTTAATTCAAAAGTTGATATTATCAACTTGAAACATACTGTTTGATACTTTTCACTATGATATAGGTCCAGCGTATCTCCCTTTGGTTAACTTGTGTTCAGGGCTACTGATGAGGAGTGGAATTCTCCGAAACTAGTATAACGTCGATCAAACTATAGATTGAACTGGACCTCCTATGAACTTAGACTTCGAAATTAAATAATTTTTCGGAATACTAAGTTTATTTATTTATTTTATTATTATCAATATATTTTTTCGGATTACTACAATCAGACGCAGTCATGTATTTTTAAATCAAGTCATAAGAACCCTCTTTATAACGCTAGTATTGTGTTTGATTCCCGCGGACGGAGCGCTAATAGCCAATTTCTCACCTTTTTGCTTAATAAATATGGAAAAGAAATAAAGCGGCTTTTGATAAGCCCTGCTAAGGAAACATTTTTACAGGGGTTAAGGAGAAATTAACTTTGTTATTGCGCCAAAGCTTTTCCTTCACACTAGAGACAGAGAGAAAAAAAAACAAGCTAAAAACGCTATATGGCAAATAAACTTGCATGTTTTACGTTGGATCCAATGTAGAAATCTATTTACTATCAGAATCAATCTCGGTAAGAGCAATTGTACCAATCGGTAGACATTTAAAGTAGGCAACTAAAGAAAATACGAGGTATTACGTAGCCAAACCAATTACCCATAAGCAGAACTCAAATCAATACACTTAAAGTTAAACTGAACTATTTGTTCGAGTGGTTAAAATCAGATTAGATCATGTTAGAAAAAAAAGTTTCAGATTATCTTGAGTGGTTAAAATCACATTAGATTATGTTAGAAAAAAACGTTTCATATTATCTTGACAATAAACTTAAGTGATATTTTGGTGAAAATTTAACCAACAGAACCGAGAAATACGAACATAAAAAACACACACATTTGTTGATGACGATAAGCAGTCGTGAAATTGTTGATAGCGTTAATTAGTCGTGAAATTGCTGATAGCGATAAACAGAAACATTTGGAAAACACATAATAATTAGTATCCTTCCTTTTTGGTTAATTATTATACATGTAAAATGAGGTGTTATTGAAAGAAAACCGAAATGAGTATAATATCGAATATAAACAAGAAATTTTTCATGTCTCAATCTTTGTTATAGCTCTCAGTTTAAAACGTGTAAATGCTGTCTTTCTGTAGAATTACCCTCAGTATGTCACTGATTAGCTTTGATCTCTATTTGACATTAGCGGATCATATTTAAACATTAACCGAGAACTACAATCAATAACACAGTCTTGACAACAATGTATAACATACAGTTGATTATAGTTATACATTGTTTGGAAACTAACACAGTCGTGACAACAATGTATAACGTACAATTGATTACAGTTATACATTGTTTGGAAACTAACATAGTCGTGACAACAATGTATAACATACAGTTGATTATAGTTATACATTGTTAGGAAACTAACACAGTCTTCACAACAATGTATAACGTACAGTTGATTATAGTTATACATTGTTTGGAAACTAACATAGTCGTGACAACAATGTATAACATACAGTTGAAACAATGTATAACTATAACGGAAACTAACACAGTCGTGACAACAATGTATAGCATACAGTTGATTATAGTTATACATTGTTCGGAAACTAACACAGTCTTCACAACAATGTACAGCATACAGTTGATTATAGTTATACATTGTTCGGAAATTCTTGGAGCCAAAAGCAAGAAAACACCAACTAGTGATAGTGAACTATCAAAAGGCTGTATAGTGTTTGTACTGACAAACAAATCTTGAAGCTTACAGTTTGTTTGTAAAATTCCAGGAAAGTAATTTAATATCTAAATAGTTGAGAAAAAGTGTGATATGTATTGCAAGTAACTATAGAAAAACAACAAAAAATGTACTTTAGAACTAGGTATCAAGCACTGACCTGACATACTTGTTTATATATTCACTGTTTATCTATCACAGTCTGAAAGTTTATATAAAAAAAGAAAAACAAGTAAAAATGGGAGAAATTACCAAATTATTCAGACAGTAGTCCAGTTAAAGCTTTAAACGATCTTCTTGTTGTTTAAAACCATGATATTATATATCACACAGAGAAAGAAAAACGTAAAATAAAGGAAGGAACATAGCACAAAGCTGTACAATAAACTATCTGTCTCGTACCAAATGCAGGGATCGAACCCCTGAAAAATTTAGCGTTATAAGCCATCGAACTTACCGTTGAGTCATCGGTGATAATTGGAAAGGGAATAACGCAAATAAATAAAACCATTAAGGAATGTAAACTTTAAACATTTCTTGTTTTTATCTATCTTAGCTAGGCCTACTAGTAAAATAGCAATTGGGTAAATGAACGGCTACGGTTATATATAAAAAGATAAAGAAATAAAATAACGGTGGCAAACACAATTATAACTAGCGGGCAGGAATATTCAGTTAAATTAGATATACTTCCGCAGGTCCCAGAAGGCGTTCTTTTTCAAGAGTAAATAAAATTAAAATTAAGAGTAACAAATATTTTTATTTCAAGCTTTTGAAGTTCATATGTCATGCCTAATACATAATCCTTCTTCTGATTTATGATGTGCGCACGCTTTACTAACGTCACGTCAGTACAAATTACAGCGTTAAGTGTCCCTTATGTGACGTCATTTTAGTGTCTACTGACTGACTGACAGGCAACACACAACTGTATAGTGGTGTGAATGATTAAAACAGATGACCCCTCCAGGCAGGCTTCGGCCCCCTTTCGGGGAAATTAACCTCCAGGTAAATTATTCATTTCTTTTTTAGTGTGATGTATAATATACAATTATAGAATTGTTTGACTCGCCATATTCAAAAGACGCAAATGGAAAAAATACCTAGGGAAATAAAGTTAAACTCATTAGTTCCCAGTATTGGTTGAAATTTAATTATTACTTAGCGACATTTTCAGCTCCAACCTAAACTGTTAGTAGTTCCTTCTTTTGAAACAATATAGCGTAAAACATCACATTTTCTGCATTATAAGAACAAAATAGAAACTCTTAAAACAGACATGTTATTTGACATTCTAGTTTTGGTTTCAGTTTAAACGATGTAATATATCTGCACAGCTGCAACTACTTTCATTGCACATAAAAGGCCTCAAAACAAAAACTTTATGCTTTATCACTCTTGGAATTTATATCATTAAGACAGTTCGTTTTTGCTAAACATATACACATGACGATAAAGATTCACATGCTAGGAAAACACATCCTCAATTTTAAGGACATAAAAATCGTGGACAGGGGTTCGAATATCATAAAAAGAAAAAGTAAGGAGGTCATTACCATCACGGCATGCGATAAATCAAGATAAAAGCCATCTATTGAAAAGTGCTCTTACAAGGCAACAAACATGCATTAAAACGTGAATTGCTCACACGCTTATAACAAGCACTTTACTCATGCAAAGAAACAGGATGGTTAAAGGCTGTGTCAAAATATCTTCGCAGTTCTAGATGAATTGGTTTACATACAGTATTAATGTACCTTACCTTATTATCGTCCTAGCTTCTATTAGACCTACGAAAAGTCAGGCTTCTGAAGGTCTAAACGAGCTCAAATGAACAGCTACTCGACCGATACACAAGTTGGCACGAATCGATGCTGCGTGTAGTTGTGTATTTTTAAGGTATTATTATAACTTATAACCTTTTTGAGCATGAGTTGTAAACAGCGCACGTTTCATAGTGTGGCTATATCGGTGCATCCTATATAAGCAAAATGGTTGAAATGGTTGTCGTCTAAGACTAACGTCATTTTCATTTTGGAAATTATCGTCGAAAAAACTAACCTGAAACATTGTATCTATACAGAAAAATTACGGCACTATTAAACAAATTTTAAGAGAATGTTAAGGTCATGCAAAATGCTTATCAGATAAACTTGGCTTTCAAAGTTTGATATAACAGAAGCCTGCATTTAACTGGCCTAGCCCTTCTGCTGTACTTTATTATATTTGTCTTTGACATAAATCGGATCTGTATTCCAATTTTTTGAGCTTAGAGAGAGTCTATATTTTTGCAGAATTATGTTTCTATTTAAACTTTCTCACAAGTGTAATTTCCTCCCCTTCATGCATTGTTAGTGACGTCAAACAACTCTCGTTTCGTGCGTGCGCCTTCGTCTTTAGAAGACCTCGCGCATTACCCTCCTCACGCTCCTAGAAGAACCCGTTTTTAAAGCCAGTTTGGTTAACCGCACTATGTATCGTAAGCGGTTTGCAACTCCGGATCGAAAAGATTATAAACTATAATAATAATTAAAACCATGCAAAATTAGAGAGATAAATACATAAAAAGTAAAATAACCTAGAAAATCACACTGAAGTTTCGTAAAAGAGCACTTTATAGTTATGCAAAGTAAATTAAAATTAAATATTTAATGAAATTACCCAAGTGAAAACAGCAGTAGGAAAGTTTAAACAAAAGAAGCCACAGAGGTCGTCCAGTAAAAACCTCAACTGCTAACTTAAATTACTTTGATAGCCAAAGACTAAGAACACAAACCTCACATTCAAAGGTGATAAGATAGTATCTATCGTCTATCTGAAAGTAAGAATACGCTTTACCACGTTTCTTAAAATCAAAATTGAAACTTAATGTTCTGGTTATTAATACGATACTAGAAACAACTGAAGCATATTTATATTCACTGTGAACTTAAGAAATTATTATATAGTCAAATATCGAGAAATACTAAACGTTTATATATATATCATGCAGTATTGGAAAGGGTAGTTCGTCACATAAATGAGGGGATAGAGGGTAATATTCTTTTTAGATGGTGCCTGACTTTTAAGACAAGGATATTTTTGTTTGTAAGTGACAAGTTATTTTATGATATTACCACTAACTTTGAGTTAAGTTGATTATTATATAATTGTAAATGAAAGTTAGTTGTTTTCAAAGCTGCTTCCAACTCCATCACCAATAAGAATAACAATACTTGGCACAGTAAGAATACTGGCTGGAAATGTCGGTAATACGGACTTTTATTATAGCAAAATAAAAATGTCTTCCAATCTTTATTGATATTCTATATATTTGTTATCAAATCAATATTAACTTCCGATCAGAGCAAGCTACCTACTTAGAGAGAAAACAAGAATTAACCTGGTAATGGATATAGCTAATTAAATGTATTTGTTACGTTATTAATTATAACAATTTAAATGCATTGTTTCATCAGTTAAGTACCCCTAGTTGTTAGAGATATTTTCGGCCGTAAATCTAATAATATCTCACGAGGTTCGGCCATTTTAGGAGATTTTGGTTTGTTCGAAATCCATATATTAAGTTAAGAATGTAAAACAATAATCTCTGCAATAAAAGTATTATAATTAACATTAAAAATAATAGAATTATATACATTCTAACCGATACTGGTAATGAAAGTAACAATAACGAAATAATAGAGCATACTTTACTTACTTAATACCTAAATCATACAACAAATAGCTTGAATGTTGGTTGTGTAATTAAAATATAACAAGGCTAAATTCAATACAAAATGTTTAACATGCTACAAAGTGTGTCTAACACAGCTACTCCCACTTTAACTAACGTGTAGCAGGCCACAGGAAGTAATAAATAAAGTTAAATCTTCTGTAAGAGCAGAAAAGTAAATGTAACAATCCTCAAGAAAGTTCAAAAACTCACGTAACTTATCTAATGAGGCAACGTTAAATTATATACGGAACTGTTGTATACATAGTATTAAAGATACATAGTAAAAGCTTAAACTAACGACTTGACTTGTAAAACTAATGGCGGTAAATACCTTAAAGCAGTTCAATATTAGGTAAAACTATTTCTAAAGGAATAAAAGTGTAAACGTGAAAATTTTGGGATATTCTGTTAAACTTCTAAACTCATAATTAATAGCAAGAATACTGATGAATTTCCCATAAAATTC